TCGGTTGTCCCAAAAGTTTCTTTCGCTTTATTAATATTGGGTTTGTCCGGAAAGTTCGTGCCTATTTTTAAGAAAAATTCAGAGAAATATTTGAATTTTCATGTATATTCATTGAATTATATACGTACCATTTTGTTTCGCAACTTTTCCACCTTTTAAGGAACGTATACACGTTATTTGTTTTCAGCCATTCCGACGTAATCAGACCTGTACCGCCTACTAAAAATCGGCATGGACTTTCCAGACAGCCCAATAAATAATACATGCACAATAGTTTATGTTTTATGTTACATTACTGAATTGTGCACGATTCATTTTGCTCCGTTACTGTTACAACATGAATATATTCATATATATCTATGAAATTAGATTGTCTATTTATATAAACACGACCACATAAAATAATTGAGTGCAACTCGCGATAGAAACTTTCGGGACAACCTAATACAAAAAACAAGTTTGCTCAAGCGAGTGCCATGAAAGGACCCGAATCTTCCCTGTGACGAAAGATGGAAAAGACGCAATGGATCCGTAAAATTAGTCTGAAATTGTCTTCATTCTCCACAGATAAAAATTCTAAGGTAGAAGCAAATCATTCCCTTTCCACTGATCGAACATCCTCTGTTCCCTAATTTAAGCTGTGATCCTTGCCGCCTCTAAATATCAAAACACGAAGCTCTTCGAACATTTTCTATATCCCTTATCCGAAGACATCAATCACAATTCGCCAGCAATTCGGCCCTCGTTACCGAAACAAAAGTCTGCTGGTGATCGGCAGGCGAATAGGCCGCGACTCGAAGCGTTTCAATTCCGGTTGGCGCAAACACGCGAATCCTCGATTATCCCCGAATTTCCCGCGAACCTCTCACCGAGTTAAGGAACAATTTCGCAAAAGCTCGCGTCAGTTTCATCAACGGATTCAGCCGGTCGGAGGCGCGCGGCTGGTGCAGCGCGCCCGTTAACCAGGCCGAAAAATTTCGCATATCCTCCTTCGCAACGGCCCCTGTCCTTCCACCCTGCCCGTGAGTGGTTTTCGACCACGCGGAATCCGACGAACGAGTACCTGGCTGAAATCCTGACGTCCTGACGTGGCACTGCGCCGACGGACTGAGAGGTGGTCGACTGCACGGCACAGCCATCGCCCAGCCTCCCGAGCTAAGCTCAGCACATTGCTGTGTGCCTTCCGGCTTACCACCGATAATGTTTTCATATTGTGCCCCGCGAATGTTTACGGCGTGCCAGCGGCATTATCCCGCGCTCCTTCACGGTTTCCCCCCGCCTCGCGATTCTTCCCGGAGATCGGGTGGCGGACTTGAGTCCTTTCGACGTTTTTCCAGACCCGGGCGGCCACGTTCCCGCCCCCGCGGGGGGGCCAGAGCATCCGGTAACCGCCTCCGGCAGCATTGTGCCTGAAACGCCTGTCTCTTGGCATCCGAGCCGCCACAGCTTCTCGCTCTTCGCGAGAACGAGCTTAAAAGCAGTGGAGGACTTAGCTTGCCTCCCGGAAGAGAACTTGAAAGGAACCACGAAAAGGGACACTCGACTCGCTTTCGAGTGCTTTCCTCGGCTTACCCGTTTGTCTCCAGTCGCGTCGACTCTGTTCCTCTCCTGTACACCGCGATACGTCCGTCCTTTGCGGAGACGACGATTTCGGCTGCGAGCTTTCGCACCGATTCCGCTCACCTCGCGACAGGACGACCTTTCCAGGCACCCCGTCTGCGAGCAAGGGAGAACGAGGCCGGATCGATGATCTCTGAGCCGAAACCACTAGAATTAAGATAACTTTTCAACTTTTACTTTTGAAACTAAACGTCCTGTGAATAAACTGTAAATGCAAAAAGGTTTCGTTTCATCATTACCTATAAGCCGATATTGTTTTAAAAATTAATTTTTACTTCAATTACAGTTACGAATGATCTAATGTGAATTCGTAGAGTTAATTTATGCACCTGATACATGAATCTAATAAATTCAACCCTCGAATGATTCTCGGATTTTACAGGAATCACCTTGTACAACTTTGCCAATGTCCCTTTGATTATGCCAGCTTAAGAATATTTACAGATGTGCGGTATCTCATCAATTTTCTACTAAGAATGTTGTAAAAAGCAATCAAGTACCGAACCGTTGGGCAAACGTAGCACGGCAATGTAATCGACGGGAAAGTATAACCGAAGAGGGCTTATAATTAATGTAGCGTTAGATCTAACCGAAATTGACATTTGATACGGGCATGCGCACGTTGTATCTAACTGGTAAGACAGAAGGTGTACCATAAAGTATGAGAGTACAACATATGGCAATTAAGCTGGAGAACGATAAGGTATATCGAGCAAATATTTGCACGGTGATGCCTTTACCTTCGATCCGGCAGATAGGACTTTTTGTACCTTATCAACGTAACGTTAAATCGAGATTCGGGGAAATTAAAAGTAAGGGATCGTCGAGGACAAAAATATATTAAATAGGCTGCGTCGGGACGAAATTAAAAAATTCACGAAGCACGAAATCTTAGGAAGCGAGGCGAGTGAAAGGAAGAATTAGTTTAATAATGAAATTTAGTAGACGTTGCTATGACAACTCTATTGTTTTTGTTTGGTTTGGTTTACCTACTGAATAGGTTATAGTATCACGTGCAAAATTAAATTGTATAAAAGAATGCCGACTGTATAATTGATTAATAAAATCGTATTCTTTAAAATTTAACATATTGAACTTCATATTTAAATCGGGCACAAACTCATGCAATCATCCAATACTAAGTCCCGTGCCATGTAATTGTATGACTATGATTTATAGCGTATTTAAACACGAAAAACGTGTAATAAACGTTGGTATATAATACAATAAGGAAAGAATTAATAAAAAATGTACGAAGACTAAAATTGTATTAAAAATAATATAATAGAAGTATATATTGCGTTTCTTTCGTTATTTATTTCTTCTTTTCTTCTAAACGTCTTTTCTCAACGTTACCTTCCCCAGATTCATCCAAATGAATTTAACATGGAGTTCGTGACCTGTTCGGCGCAACAAAACGTCCACTGGCCTTTGATTGTCAGTACGTTGGAATTAAGTGCACGGTGTTTCCTTCGCGCAACTCTTCCCTCGGACATCAGGCGTCTTTCACGGTGAAAAGAACTTTGCCTGGAACCCTACGATGGTCAAAGAACAGAGACGGCGCAAAAGAGTCGAGGCGCTTAATTTTAAGCTGAAGCTAATGAGATTGAAACGCGGTGAAAACATCCTATAACGAACACAAGAAGCTTTGAGTCTTTGAATCAAAGTCCATCTACTTTTCGAAATTAGAAAGGCTCTTAACGGTCGATAGAGTAATGTTTCGGTAGTTGGGCGATGACTGAGGAAATATTCGCGACGTGATGCGAAACTTTCTCAAGTGGCAAGCTTATATTCTGCTTAGCACGGATTCTTTGGCAATCAACGCTTCCTGAATTTCTCTTTGTCGACGGTGGAGGGTTTTTCGTTTTTAATTTTGACGGTTTCGTTTTCTAACTCTTCTAATTAGACGAGGGTGTTTTACAATACGTGGAACCGCTTATTATTCTTATTCGAGTGCTCCCTTTTTAATATTATATCTTATCTAATATTACATAATATCTTACTAAGGGGAAAGATGACGACGAAGAAGTAACTCGAGATGTGTACACGATGATGATATAATTTAATGAACGTACTGTCTACAAATACTTCAAGATTTTTAAGTAACGACGTCAGTTTGGAGATTAAAGAGTGATACGGAATGATCGATGATGGAGATACGTTCACGTTAATCGAGGAGGAGTCCTCGACATACTGCAACAGATAATGTCAAGATATTCAATATTTTACAGAAATCTGGTTTTCTGCATCTAAAGAGATTTGGGATAATAATTAAATGTAAAGTTTTACATGAATGGCAATGGACTAGAATTCATAATTTTAATCTAATCCAAAAAGACAAACGGGAGCACTCGCGGATCTAACAATTCGATAGGAATCTCGAGACATCGTTCACGGGTGGTTTCGATTGAACCACATATGGTCGATTGTGGCACGAGTTTATCGAAAGATAAGTCGAGGCGATTAAACTCAACCCTTTCTCATCCCGCGCACCTGTCCTTCGCACGCCAGTTTTATTCAACGAACTGAATTTTTACCACGAAACCAAAATTAACAACGTAATCAATTTTTATGTTATTTATCTACATACTCGAGGCATACAAAGTGGCAATTTTAATATTTTCATTGGAATCGAAGAACGTCGAGTAATAGTAACGTACACGAATCCGAAACCGAAGAAAGCGATTGACCAGTGCCAATAATTCAACATAATCGAACGCTGCTCGAACCCCCAACGTGCGCAATTCCATGGTCGACCGAGGATCGTTTTTAAAAATGTTTATCTTCCAAATACTCGGCGACGTGATCGTTTCCCGTGGAATCGACAGAATTTCATTTCATAACGGCGATACTTTTACCGCGGCGATATTATCGCGAGCAGCGTCGCTGCTTCAGAAACGTAACGCAATAATCTCGTACGAGCTGATAATAATAATCGTGGATCTAATAATCGTGACCTCTTCTCGGTATGGAAATTCCGAGCAAGCAGTGTCACGCGCCTCTACCAAGCTCGATCGTGTTTGTTTTCACCGAATACCAGCGTCGAACGTTCGATAGCATGCGGAATAAGGCACGGGGAAACAATTCTGGGATTGGCGACTTTGTTTATAATGGAAACTCTGTTCAGATCAAATTAAGGACAAAATTGTGGTTTGAGATTTCGCACGAGAGTTTAGAATACGAAGAGAAACTAAAATTTCATTAAACATTTTCTTTTAATCTAATCCTTTGTAGAATTTGTTTGAAACATATTTTAAAATTTTTTCAAATCATGAACAACTATCAGAAAAACCACTACAGTACAAGAAGCAATCGTTATTCATATTTAGTCCAAAATTTAAACAAACCTTGCGACAGGAGTATGAAACTTGAGTACGAAGTTTTATTCATTAATTATTCTTTTATTATCTGTGCTATAATTTTTATTGAAAACAATATCGAACAACATAGAAATTTGTCTCCTTGATTCGTTATTCGAGATATTTATCTATACAAGCATTTTGTCCATCTCTAATACTTGTCAAAATGTGTTTTTGAGAGCGTACTTGACGTTTCGCTATTAGATTTTCGATTCGATCCGTTTCACCAGGAATTATCCGATTTCGTCGATAGTTTGCACGATGAGTTAGAGTCCTCCTTAATAGTTCAACTTCCTGTTCTTGTTCTTGTTTAAGATATTCTCACGCTGAGCCATTAGCTCCTCCGGCGTGATCAGGACTTGACACCTGTGCGCGTATGTATGGCACTTTATGGTTCCGCAGCATTCTCTGTCAGAAACACACTGAAATGAAGAAACAAATCAACGTTAGCGTCAATCAATTGGCAAAACTACGAAATTATTAGGACAGCCATAGAATTTTATTTTCAAGTTGTTGGAAAAGATATCTTAAGAATCAATGGATCGATTATCATCAATTCTGATGTACATGTATTATCCCTCCATTGTCTGAATTAACATAATCTCGATACCTGAGGATGTTCTGTTTATTTAAATTTTGACAGTTTCGATTATTTGAGACGAATTTTTATTCATTGTAAACTACTGTTGCTCTAGCAAAATATAATTATCCAAAATTTTGAATCAATAAATCTTACATTTCACTCTCAATTAAAAGCCTCACGTGTCGCTCAGTTTGTTAGACTTGAATTCCCCAGTCTCCTCAAAAAGACGCTCGAAAATTTCGAGTCGAAATAGTTGTTATAAAAGTAATTTACTCACGCTGTCGCCATGTCTACCGCACTGCTCAGGCGCTGCCATGACTACAGTCATAGCTATCAACGCAATGAAGACGCACAGCATGATTTTGGTCATTTTGAACGGGATTTGTTTGCTGAAAACAAAAATTGTATCTCCGTCACTTTCTCTTTACCATCGGTCCTTTTCAACAACAGTCTATATCGAATAAATCGCTTCGTTTCATTGTCGACCCAGTACATCTCGAGGAACGTGCGTCGATGCAAGTTTATGTTGATTTAAAGAGCAGAAAACCGAGACGTAGTACCACGCGAAGTGAGACACTTCTTGTTGCAATTACATTCCGTCTCGGGGCCGCGACGGCAAGAATCGACAAAGGTCATTCGCGGATACATGAAATTCCAGCTCATTACGCAACCTAACGAGCACAGACACTCACGCGCGAGATTTTTACGCAAGGACGGCCTGTACAGGTGTCCGTGAATGAGTCATTAACTACTGACCTAACTTGTTCTTGAATAGCGAACAGAGTGACTAAAGTGTACGGTCATGGGCAACCATATCAATCTATTATAATTCACGGAGTTGTCACGTATTCAGCGCGGATACAACTTTTCATGGTTTTTTCATGGCAAAACCCGATTAAATAATTTAAGAACAAATCTGTTTTATTTTTGTTTCAAACAAAAATTATAATATTGTCGTAATTATATACGAGCCATAATGTATCATTGTTTTCTCAAAATATGTAATTGAGAGAAGAACAAACGTCTGTTATCGAAAAAGTGCCTTTTCATGTTGGAAGCAGACTAAACCGTTTCGTATTATTCTGGGACAAAGTAATATTTCAGATGCATTGCGAATGAATGGTATGCAAAGCAAAACAGAGGCCCGGTACAATGGAAGATATGTTAACGATGTTGATAGCACAAGTCATTGGAAGAAACGTGCGATAATGAACGTTCAAAGTTCCTTGCATGTATCTGTCAATATACCGAAGATTCTTCAACGTTATTCTCTTGTTTATATCTTAGAACGATGCAATTTTTATGAATTTGTTTTTTCTTTAATCTGTATCTCCGGTAGGTTGGTAATAAACTTTGTTAATTAATGGTGTCTGTTTACGTATATTAAACCAGTGGGATGTGGATATACCGATGCGAGATCAATTTCAATTGACTATAATAGAAGAATAAATAAGAGGCAAATTAAAATATTGTGAAAAATATTCACAAATTAATGAGATAATATGTCAACATTCTCTTTATTGATTAATTAAAATATAGTTAATCCAAATAGAGAACAAATCACAGTCTGGTTTATTAAAAAAAAAAAAAAACTAGAATTCCAAAGGAATACCAAAACCAAAACAGAAAAGTTCACAAATTAGTAGAAAGATATATCACCATACGAAGCGTTACACTCGAATTCAATTTCTAATATTGAAAATCCGTTTGAAGAATATTTATTTAAGAAACCTTCCGGAATAATAAACTTCACTCGTTCAACCTTCTTTTTTCTCTACATCGCTCAACTTACACTCCCCTCGTTTAATTACTCGACGTCAAACGAAAGGTCGACATTTTGTCTCGTCCTATCATCGTGATAGGACTCCTTCGCACTGAATTAGACACCAAATCACTTTGCACAGAGGATTAAACGTCGAACCGTGAATTAATCCGCGTCATATCGGTACATTGATGTTTGAATTTAGGAGGAAATTGGCACAATCACGGCGGTCCCTACGCTTGGAAACAGTTCCTCTGAGTTACTGCGCATGAATTGCTACTCACCAGAAGCAACGGACACAAAGAAACACAGAGCTCTTTCTTAGGAGTGCTGGACCCAAGAGAGTTCGACCTTAACTGTCTCGTCGTCTTGCTGTATACTACGCTTTTATAGCACGACGTCGCGTCACACTGGCAATTTCTGAACTCGCATATCGCGCTTCTGAGTCTGCATACGCACGAGAGGTTATAGTGGTTACAGAAAACTGGTAAACTTCTCGGATGCCTGAGTCACATTCGATCACGTTCGAAACACCAGTAACACTGGCTCGTTCCTAGTTTCATTGGTACCGCTACAATTTTCAGAAAGTTGCATTGTTTGCAAATTTCTAAGATTCTCGGTACGTGGCAACAAGTTGAAAAAACTTTTAAGGAAGTTACGACGGCCAAGCGGCTGACTTTCCAATTAAAATGGAAAATACGTGACCGTTTCAATTCTTGGTAGAGTAACGCATACGTCGCGCTATACATTTTTATCCGGTCATTATGTTTCCTTGTAAACACGCGCAAAAGTTTGCGCTGTTGAACCAATTTGTATTCCAATCACCGGCTCGCAGTAACCTTGTCAATTCCTAACTGAAGAACAAATCAAAGAGACTGTATTTTTAGTAGTGATTTTTCAGAGATTTTATATAAATCTTAAGTTTCTGAAGCTCTAAGATTTAATTCAAATGAGTGAGCCAGGAACGCTTACATGTGAAGCTTCAAACGACAACCTCGAAGGCTGCGTCCTGAAAGTTTCAGTCTTTGAAACTTTAAAGCTGAATTTTACAGTTTTTACAGTTTATATGCGAAGCTTGAGTTCGAAAGCTCTGAGATTCAATTTAAAAGGGTGGCCATTAGACGAATGGCATACAATAATGAGGCACACATCGGACAAAAAAGCACGCATTGAAAACGAAAATACTACTAGTATCGCATAAACTGCGTAGAAATCGCGTATTCCATACACACACACACGCGCGCGCGCGAAAAAAAAGAAGAGAAATATTCTGTAGCCTCGGAAAGTAGAGACAAAGCGGTAACCGCACGATAAAAATATTACAAGCATCGAATATCAAAATTAAAAATCGACGAAATCAAATGTTCCATTGTTCAAAGTTTACATTTTTCGATTTCACATTCAAGAGCCGCGCGCGTTCAATCTTTATACCCCGCGCTGGCATATTACCGGTACGAATATTCCGTAATTTTACAATTTTATTGTACGTGCGTGATTTTTCCTTCGGTTTTTTTTTTGTTTTGGTTTTATCTATCTTGTTTTATTTTATTTTTTTTTGTTTCGCGAACAAAGCTCGCTCTATTAAATTACAGTAGCTACAGGCTCCTCTGCGTCTGGCATTTAATTTCGCGAAATCATACCTTCGAGACGCGTATCTCCGCGCGTACGGGAAAGTCGAATCCTAAACCCGTTCTCCTTCTCGCCCTCGCCCTCCTCCCCGCCCCTTACCGCCTCGCCACGACAATTATTAATCGTACCAATTATACTCCAAACTGTACAACAATTCAAAAGAGGCGTCCACCGCGAACATTCTTTCTCCATTCGTCCGTATGAAACGACGGGCGCACTTTTTTGTTTTCTGTGCCGATATTCCATTGACGGCATATTCCGGGCTCCATGCGTTCCATTGATTCCTCGACAAAACCCTCTTGTTCTTTAATTCGCTTAATAGGAAACAACAGGAAAGAAAACCGAATCATCCGGTAATATTGTCCTTTTATTCGTAGACGGTAGCCAAGCGAAAACGCCGCTCATTTCTCTCTCTCTCTCTCTCTCTCTCTCTCTCTCTCTCTCTCTCTCTCT